TCATTTGGGTTTTCGCACTGGCCTGAAGCGGTTCGGTGGACGAAAGCATTTCTTACTCTCCTATAGTCTTCGCAAGGGCAGGGCTGCCCGCGACTATCTGTTGTCTGGTAGTTTATCAAAGATACGCCTCGAGGCCGCTGGGGCCCCCAGAGGACGGCAAATAAAAACTTGCGGAATGAAGCCGCAAGTCATGCTGAGCTGAGAGAGCGTTCATTCCTTGCTCCAGACGTTCTCAGATGCTTGAATAGCCTGGACAGGGCGTGCTGTAAAAATCAGGCCAGTAGCGAGGTTGGTGGGCGGCTTTCAGCCATCTTTGGAACACGATGGCAGTTCAATGCGGGTCCCCTCCCCCCTAAGGGCTCCGCAGCGTTCTGACCCCGGTCGCTTGACGACGGTGGCGCACTCAAGGTGCATCCCTGCCGTGGCCTGAGGGCGAGCCCCGAGCCCCGTGGTTCGCGCGTTCCGGCGCCGGCGTTGCCGAGGGACCTGGAGCTCTTTCAACAGCTTTGGCCAACAGGGAATAACACATAATTCTTTTATTCCCGAGGAGCCTGCGCTCATAACCCCGCCCGCACACGCATGCGTGCGTTCGCGGTTGATGTGTGGGCTGCGGGGGGCGAGTGCTTGTTGGCCGCATTCGACCGCGCGGCATCTGTTCTGGCCCCCCACTTGCCGCCCTGTTTTGTGCCGCGCGCCCGTCGCATTTCTCAAGCTTGCTCATCTGTGTAAAGACTCGCGTGAGCTAGGAGGGCTTCTCTGTCTTCTTGGCAGTGTTCGGCGCGAGTCTCCTCGCCCCTCGGCGCCCCGCAGCGTTCGGACCCCGGTCGCTTGACGACGGTGGCGCACTCGAGGTGTATCCCTGCCGTGGCTTGGGGGTGAGCCCAGAGGCCCCCGCGTTCTGTCGCCGTCGCTGCCGGGCCCTAAGCTCTTTCAAGAGCTTTGGCGCACAGGGAAGAACACATAATGCCTTTATTCCCGAGGGGTTTGCGCTCAGAGCCCCGCCCGCGCACGCCCACATATGTGTGTGTATATATATGCACACGCACACGCGCACACACACACACACACGCACACGCACACGCACACGCACACGCACACGCACGCACACGCACACGCACACGCACACGCACACGCACACGCACACGCACACGCGCGCACACGCACACGCACACGCACACACACACAGAGACACACAGAGACACATAGAGACACACAGAGACACACAGAGACACACACAGACACACACAGACACACACAGACACACACATACACACACAGACACACACAGACACACACACACACAGACACACACACAGACACACACAGACACACACAGACACACACAGACACACACAGACACGCACAGACACACACAGACACACACAGACACACACAGACACACACAGACACACACAGACACACACAGACACACACAGACACACACAGACACACACAGACACACACAGACACACACAGACACACACAGACACACACAGACACACACAGACACACACAGACACACACAGACACACACAGACACACACAGACACACACAGACACACACAGACACACACAGACACACACAGACACACACAGACACACACAGAGACACACAGAGACACACAGAGACACACAGAGACACACACAGACACACACGGACACGGACACACACGGACACACACGGACACACGCGGACACACACGGACACACACGGACACACACGGACACACACGGACACACACGGACACACACGGGACACACACGGACACACACGGACACACACGGACACACGGACACACACGGACACACACGGACACACACGGACACACACGGACACACACGGACACACACGGACACACACGGACACACACGGACACACAGAGACACACAGAGACACACGGAGACACACACACGGAACACACACGGACACGCACACACGCGGAGCACACACGGACACACACGTAGACAAACAACGAGACCACACACGGAGACACACACGTAGACACCACACGAGACACACTCCAACGGAGCAACACGGAGACACCACACGGAGACCACACACGGAGACAACACACGGAGACACACAGAGACCACACAGAGACACACACAGAGACACACACAGAGACACACACTGAGTCACACACAGAGACACACACAGAGACACACACAGAGACACACACAGAGACACACACAGAGACACACACAGAGACACACACAGAGACACACACAGAGACACACACAGAGACAAACACAGAGACACACACAGAGACACACACAGAGACACACACAGAGACACACACAGAGACACACACAGAGACACACACAGAGACACACAGAGACACACAGAGACACACAGAGACACACAGAGACACACAGAGACACACAGAGACACACAGAGACACCCAGAGACACACAGAGACACACAGAGACACACAGAGACACACAGAGACACACAGAGACAAACAGAGACACACAGAGACACACAGAGACACACAGAGACACACAGAGACACACAGAGACACACAGAGACACACAGAGACACACAGAGACACACAGAGACACACAGAGACACACAGGGACACACAGAGACACACAGAGACACACAGAGACACACAGAGACACACAGAGACACACAGAGACACGCAGAGACACACAGAGACACACAGAGACACACAGAGACACACAGAGACACACAGAGACACACAGAGACACACAGAGACACACAGAGACACACAGAGACACAAAGAGACACACAGAGACACACAGAGACACACAGAGACACACAGAGACACACAGAGACACACAGAGAAACACAGAGACACACAGAGACACACAGAGACACACAGAGACACACAGAGACACACAGAGACACACAGAGACACACAGAGACACACAGAGACACACAGAGACACACAGAGACACACAGAGACACACAGAGACACACAGAGAACACAGGAGCCACACAGAGCCACACAGAACGAGCCACACAGAGGCAACACAGAGCAGCCACACAGAGGCACACAGAGGACACAGAGGCCCACAGAGCCCCACAGAGCCCCACACAGCCCCACAGAGCCCCGCAGAGCCCCACAGAGCCCCACATAGCCCCACAGGGCGCCACATAGCCCCACAGAGCCACACAGACCCCCACAGATTTCCAGAGCCACATAGAGCCACACAGCCCCACACAGCCCCACAGAGCCCCATAGAGCCACACAGAGCCACACAGAGCCACACAGAGCCACACAGAGCCTCACAGAACCACACAGAGCCACACACAGCCACACAGCGCCACGAAGAGCCACATAGAGCCACACAGAGCCACGCAGAGCCACACACAGCCACACACAGCCCCACACAGCCACACACAGCCACACACAGCCACACACAGCCACACACCGCCACACAGCCACACACAGCCACACACAGCCACACACAGCCACACAGAGCCACACATATCCACACACAGCCACACACAACCACACACAGCCACACAGAGCCACGCAGCCCCACGCAGCCCGCCACACAGCCACACACAGCCACACACAGCCAGACACAGCCACACAGCCACCACAGCCACCACAGCCACCTAGCCACACAGCCACACACAGCCACACACCCACACAACCACACATCCGCACAGCCACACAGCCACACAGCCACACAGCCATACAGAGCCACACAGAGCCACACAGAGCCACACAGCCACACAACACCACAGCCCGCCACACAGCCACACAGCCACACAGCCACACACAGCCACACAAAGCCACACAGCCACACAGCCACACAGCCACACACAGCCACACACAGCCACACACAGCCACACAGAGCCACACAGAGCCACACAGAGCCACACAGAGCCACACAGAGCCGCACAGCAACACAGCCACACAGCCACACACAGCCACACAGCCACGCATACACACAGGCACACAGCGACACAGCCACACAGCCACACAGCAACGCAGCAACACAGAGCCACACAGCCACACAACCACACAGCCACACAGCCACACAGCCACACAGCCACACAGCCGCACAGCCACACAGCCACACAGCCACACAGCCACACAGTCACACAGCCACACACAGCCACACAGCCACACAGCCACACAGAGCCACACAGAGCCACACAGAGCCACACAGAGCCACACAGAGCCGCACAGAGCCGCACAGAGCCACACAGCCACACAACCACACAGCCACACAGCCACACAGCCACACAGCCGCGCAGCCGCACAGCAACACAGCCACACAGCCACACAGCCACACAGCCACACAGACACGCATACACACAGGCACACAGGCACACAGGCACACAGGCACACAGGCACAAAGGCACAAATGCACACATGCACACAGCCACACATGCACACAGCCACACAGAGCCACGCAGCCCCACGCAGCCCGCCACACAGCCACACACAGCCACACACAGCCAGACACAGCCACCACAGCCACCACAGCCACCACAGCCACCTAGCCACACAGCCACACACCCACACACCCACACAGCCACACAGCCACACAGACACGCATACACATAGGCACACAGGCACACAGGCACACAGGCACACAGGCACAAAGGCACACATGCACACATGCACACATGCACACAGCCACACAGGCACACAGGCACACAGACACAAAGGCAGACAGGCACACAGGCACACAGGCACACAGGCACAAAGGCACAACGGCACACATGCACACAGCCACACAGGCACACAGACACAAAGGCAGACAGGCACACAGGCACACAGGCATACATACTCACAGACTCACAGACTCACAGACTCACACATTCACAGACTCATTGATTCACAGACTCATGTACTCACACACTCTCACACACATACTCGCACCCTCACACACTCACGCGCTCACGCACTCACGCACTCACGCACACACATACACGCACAAACACGATCGTTCATTTTTTACACGGATGGGAATACAGCGCAGGGGAGATGGGCGGGAAGACGGAAGTCCAGGAGATGTGGAAGGTATGGGGGATCGTGGGATTTGTGTCTATCTATTTGAGTGTCCCTGGGCCTCATTCAGGGTCCGCAGCCTGCGACCTGCCGCGCGTCGACGCGAGCGGGCTGGACTGGGAGGAGTTCGCCAGGCGCGGCCTGCGCGGCCGCACGGGCGTGGTGCTCACGGGCCTGTTCTCGAAGAAGGTCTCAAGGGAGGAGACAGTACCGACACCGCCGCCCTTCTGTCGTTTTCGCTGGATTCGCTTCGACATTCTGACCCGTAGCAACATTTTGTGGGTTCCCCAGAAGGAGTTGGCGCGGTGGGGGCGTCGCAGGGTGCTGCGGGCGCACGGGAACGAGACGTTCCACGCCGACGACACGCGCGGCACGTATAGCTTCCCGAGGCTGGCCGATTACGTCGAAGGGCAGGTCTCGCGCCAGATGATCTTCGTCTCGGACTCCCTGCTGGGGATGTTTGGCAAGGCCTACCGCTTCGCAGTGAGCCCCCCCGGCCGCGCCGCTCTGCTCCGAGACTTCGCCGAGCGCCCAATCTCCGAGGCGGGGCTTTATCCATCCCCACCGCCAGACGTATCGGTCTTCAGGGGCGTAGGCAGGCGGTGGATACGGACATGGATGTATTCCCCAAGCGGTGCTTGCACTGCCGGGTTCTGGCATGGAGCTGGTCCTCTGCGCCCTTGCGGCCGCCTCCTCGTCGCCCGTCGCGTCGCCGGTTCGTCTCCGCCGCCCGTCGCTGCATCAACTGGGCCCGCGCTCGGGTTCAGCCGGCTTGTCGTCGCGCGTCGCCGTCCGTCGCCGCCGTTCGTTACCGCATCGTTTTGGGTGCGAGCTGCACCGCGTAGATTTATATCTGCATCTTCCTGCCAGGTTGGGGGGGACACGGCCTAGGCGAGATGAAGACGCATCAGGATGGTGGGCCCTGTGACTGCAGCCGCGCCCCGAGAGCTTTCCGGGCCGCCGTGCCATTCGGCGCAGCCGACGTGCAAGCGGAATGCCCCCCCCCCCCCCTTAACTGGGCCGTAGTAGTAGTAGACGCGGGGGGGGGAGGCAGGAAGCGTGCGACGCGACAGAGAGAGGTGCAGGGAACCGTTGCTTCTGGCTTAAGCGAGCTCAGCAGCAGACGCACAACGAAACGCTGCGGCTCAACCGAGTTCGCAGCGACAGGTAGCCAAGCGAAGGCCATTAAATGGCTTCGGATGGCCTTCAAATGATGCCACACGATGGCTAGCACCTAGTGGCCCGCACTTGGCGATGCAGGGCCTCGGAGGAGGCCTCTCGGGAAGTGGGTGGTATTCCGTTGGGCTTTTTCCCTGGAGGTTGGCCTCCCTAGAGTAGGTACGACTTTGGGTTCGGGGGGACGCCAGCCTTCCTTCCCCCTGCCTGGGAGAGGACCAACTGAAACCAAAATAACCACCTATGGCGTCGTGGCCGTTTCCGTCGTCGTTGTCGCCGTGGTCGTCCTTCCTCCTCCCTCGTCGTCGTCGTCGTCGTCCGTCGTCGGCGTGTCGTCGTCGTCCCTCTTGTTTCGTCGCCGTCGTCGTCGTCGTCGTTGTTTTCGTCGTTTTCCCTCCTCCGTCGTCGTTGTCGTCGTCGGCGTCGCCGTCCTTCCTCCTTCTTCGTCGTTTGCGTCGTCGCCGTCCTCCCTCCTCCCTCGTCGTTGTCGTCGTTGTCGTCGTTGTCGCCGTCGTCGTCCTCCCTCCTCCCTCGTCGTCGTCTTCGTTGGCGACGTCGTCGTCGTCTTCGTCGTCGTCGTCGGCGTCGGCGTCGTCGTCGTCGTCGTCGTCGTCGGTGTCGTCGGTGTCGCCGCCGCTGTCGTCGTGTCGTCGTCGGTCGTTGAAGTCGTCGTCGTCGGTGTCGTCGTTGTCGTCGTCGTCGTCGTCGTCGTCGTGTCGTCTGTCGTCGTCGTCGTCGTCGTCGTCGGCGGCGGCGTCGTCGTCGTCGTTGTCGTCGTTGTCGGGTTCGTCGAGGTCGTTGGAGACGTCGTCGGTGTCGTCGTAGTCGTCGTCGGCGGCGTCGTCGTCGTCGTTGTCGCTGTCGTCGTCGGCGTCGCTGTCGTTGCCAAGTGCCATTTGGTACCCACCGTCACGGTCTTAAGAGATTTTGCAAGCCAAGTTGCGGTTGGGTGGGTGGGATGCTTGCGCGAGCAGTGTTGTGGACATCTCATTGCGAGCAGAAATTAATTGCACCGCGTAGCTTCCACCACATAGCTTGCGCCACATAGCTTGTATCACATAGTTCGTGCATCACCGAACCATGCTAAAACACTGCGTCTGGGATCCCCGCTGGCTTGCATCTTGTTTACAAACTATATGTTCATGTGTCTATGTAGAATATAGACATGTTCACGGACACATGTGTATACCAGAGTGAAGGTTCTGCGGCGCGGATTGTTTTTGCGTTTTTGAGTTCTCATTTCTGAACATTATTTGTTGTTGATCCCTCTTGCCTGGTAACCATTTTTGTCTTCAATTGAATTGCTTACCCCGGGGCTCGTGCCCTGTTTCTTTTACCAGGGACATTTGGGTGTCACCAAACTGTGTTGTCGGGCCCCTGTTTACAACAAGAACGGCTTCCGCCTGATACTTCCTCACAGTTTAGTCCAAATCGCACGCTCGCGCGGGATTTCTCACAAGTTATGCAGCAATGGTGTTCTCGCGTGGGACTTGTTTAAAACTGGATGTTTAAAACTGGATTCCAACACCACGCCGTCGACGCTCAGGAATCACTCTCTCGTTGTTTGCTTTTCTCACGAATTATTTGGGAACCGAGCTTTCGCTCGAGATCTCCTCGCGATTCATGCAGTACTCATGCAACTCGCCTGCTTGACCTGGCCGCTTGGGCCCGCCTTCGACCGCACGTCAGGATCTAACCCGCTCGATGGGCCCGTCTGGTTCTGCCGCTTGCTTTCTGCTCCTAGTCCCCCTCCTGCTAATCCCGTGTTCCATCCATCTCCTTCCCCCTTTCCATCCGTCCTTTTTTCCCCTGTTTTAGGTCTGCGGCAGGTAAGGTATGCCCCAAGGGGGGTACGATCGAAAGTTAAGAGGGCGGGTACTGAGGGTTTGGGATATGCGTGTTGAATGGCATGCGAGCAGGTAAGAGCAACCAGTCTTACAATGATTGTTGTCGTTGTGGTTGTGGTTGTGGTTGTTGTCGTCGTCGTCGTCGTCGTCGTTGTTGTTGTCCCACTCGCGACCCAGCCCGGGACGCACCCGCGACCCGCCCGCGACCCAACCGCGACCCGCCCGCGACCCACTCCCGACCCACCCTGTGCCCGCCCCCTCAGTATATCCGCAACTGCGGGGTGCTATATATATATATATATATATATATATATATCGGTATATCGATGTGTATATATATATATATATATGTATGAATGAGAGTGTTCTACCGCTGCTGGCGGAAAACCGGGGGGGGTCACTACCGGTTCGAACCCCTGTCCCCCTCCCTCCCGGAAAACCGGGGGGGGTCACTACTGGTTCGAACCCCTCCCCCCCCCCCAGTTCATCATGAAAAGGGGGGGGGGTCACTACTGGTTCGAACCCCCCCCCCCTCGAAAACCGAGTGGGGGTGCGGACAGTGGTGGGGACGGTGTTGGTGGGGACGGTGTTGGTGGGGACAGTGGTGAGGGGACAGCGGGACAGTGGTGGGGACAGTGGGACAGTGGGACAGTGGTGGGGACAGTAGTGGTGGGGACAGTGGTGGGGACAATGGTGGGAACAGGGGGGACAGTGGACAGTGGTGGTGACGGTGGTGGTGGGGACAGTGGTGTGGGGACAATGGGAATGAGGTGGAAACAGTGGGACAGTGGAGGGTACAATGGTGGTGGGGACAGTGGTGAAGGCGGTGGCGAGGACGGCGGTGGGACAATGGGACAGAGGTACAGTGGGGACAGTGGTGGGGACAGTGGGGACAGTGGTGGGAACAGTGGGACAGCTCAGTGGGACAGCGGAGGAGTCAGTGGGACAGTGGGGACAGTGGGGATAGTCGGGCAGTGGTTGGGGCCGTGGAGACAGTGGGGAGAGTGGAACCGTGGTGGGAACAGTGCTGGGGACAGCGGGGACAGTGCGACAGTGGTGGGGTCACTGGTGGGACAGTACGGTGGTGGAACCAGTGGGGACAGCGGTGGTGAGGACAGTGGTGCTGGGAACAACAGTGGGGGATGTGATGCGGACGGTGGTGGGGACCGGGAGTCGTTTGCTGGCGGTGAGTGGGGGGGGGGGGGGGGGGGTTCGAACCGGTAGTGATCCCCTCCGGTTTTCGACGGGGGGGGGGGTTCGAACCGGTAGTGCCCCCCCCCGGTTTTCCGGATCCGGAGGGGCGGGGGGGGAGGGGTTCGAACCGGTAGTGACCCCCCTCGGTTTCGAGGGGGAGGGGGGGGGGGTTAGGGGGGGGGGGGTTTGCCGGGGGAGGGGGGGGTCGTTCCAGCGGGGGGGGGATTTTCGGAGGGGCGGGGGGGGGCGACCCCCGGGTTCCGGAGGAAAAGGTAGGCAATTTTCCACAGTAAAGCGGCGGTGGATCACGCTCTCTCATTGTATGTATGTATGTATGTATGTATGTATGTATGTATGTATGTATGTATGTATGTATGTATGTATGTATGTATGTATGTATGTATGTATGTATGTGTGTGTGTGTATGTGTGTATGTGTGTATGTGTGTATGTGTGTATGTATGTATGTATGTATGTATGTATGTATGTATGTATGCGTGTGTATGTATGTATGTATGTATGTATGTATGTATGTATGTATGTATGTATGTATGTATGTATGTATGTATGTATGTATGTATGTATGTATGTATGTATGTATGTATGTATAATTATATATTGTTCGCCAAGGATTTGTAGTCTCAAGAACAGCACTTCACGGCAGCACACAGATGCCAGGATAGGCCTCGCGAGTGCGCGGGCGGCCTCAAGGCAGGCAAAAGTGCGAGGACGTGGGAGTGACCGCTACGCAGGGCGTCTATGCCGGCCACGTTGTATCACATCACAGATTTATTCATCAACGACTGGCAGTCAAAAGTGAACTAAGCTGTGAGGACGGCTCCAATAGCGGGTGCACGGCGTGCTGCCCACGCAGAGTGCCGCGGTAGGCAAAACAGAGCAAATCGTCGTAACAAATTTGCGCTGCGACACTGGAGAAGACCGCGGCCGGGACGCCTCTCAAGTGCAATGCCAAAGGAGCAGGGAGCTAAAAACGATCGCGCGCGGCCAACCTCCAACCACATGCGGTTCTAAAGGTGACAACACACGATGCAGAAAAAATGCGGCAATCGTCGCAACGCCCCCTTGGCGTTGGACGGGGTGCTGGCGCGCGCTCCACCCGCAACCACAGTCGGCTCTATAGGTGGAGGCGGCGCACACATCCGAAGCTGAATTAGTCCAAGGCGCCTAATGTGCCCTGGTACGCCTGTCGCATGTCCTCTAACGCCTTGGGGAGGCCCACCACGAAGAAGACCGTCGAGTTGGGGTCCATGGTCCTCACGGCGTCCCCGACGAGAACAGATTGGTCCTCAACGATGTGGGTGTCTCCGCTAGGCATCTTGCTCATCATCCACGCCCCCAGTTTCTTGGGCGGCTTCGCTGAGATAGCGCGTCTGCGCCACACGTGCTTGGCCACCCATGCAACCGTGTGGTACTCCTGCAGCGTGACGGTGACAGAAACGGCATCATGGCTGTCATCGGCAATCACCAACGCGGGCAGCGGGAACCGTGTGTGTTCCGTTATGCACTGGACGAGGCCCCCGCGGGCGTGGGACACCACGCATACTGCTCCTCATCCGCATCGTTGGAGCCCCCTGCTGGGCTTCCACTCCGGCCAGCATCGTCACGAAGGTCTGGGGAAGGAAGTCGTGCGGGATGGTCTAGGCTGGCGCCCGGGGTCTCTGCGAGGCAATCCACTTCGCGGAGCCTATCGGTCTGTGGCGCCGCGGCGGCGTGCTCGGCTGGAGCGGTCGGGGCCGTGGCGGCGGGTGCAGAGGCAGGCGAGGTCCCAGGGGCCTCGGTGCACCCGAGGGGGTCACCGCTGCTGTCGGCGCCCATCGCGGGGGGTCCGCCAGGGCGCGTGCCGGGGACGACTGAGGCCGACTCGATGTCGCCTCCGCCCTGCCGGGGGCCCTGGACTCCGCCGGCGGGGCCCTCGTGCCCCTCATCGCCATGGGAGGCGCCCCCGCTCTCGCCATCGGCCGCGACAACGGGCGACGGGGCCTCTGAAGCGGTTCGCGGGGCCGGGCCGCTGTGCCAGCCCGACGGGGCCGCTGGAGCGGCTCGCGGGGCTGGGCCGCCGCTTCCGGCATCGCCAGGTCGACCTCCAGGAGCCTCGGCTGCGCCCTGGGGTCCTGCTGCGTCCCTGTCGGCGTCGCCGACGCAGGGCTGCGCGATCGGGATCGGCTCGTAGTACGGCCCCCGGTTGTAGGTGCCGCACGTGTTGGGGGCGGACTCGGAGATGGAGGCCTCGCAAAACTCTCCCGTTGGAGCTGAAGGTCCTGTAGCTCGCGCTGCAGCACGCGCGTCCGGTCCGGGTCCACGGACTGGTCCAGGCGAAGCGTCACCAGCTGGATCTGGCGAGCAAGGTGGGCCAGTGCAGTGGGAGGTCCCATGGACTACTGGCAGGGGCCCCAGCCACACTGCGAAGCCGTCGGGGACCCAGATGTTGACCCAGCGCCCAGGCGGCGCCGCGGCGGACTGCGCCGTCGCCGCGTGCGCTGGGAAGCGCCGGCGCGCCTCCTGCAGGCTACCGGCGCCGGGGCAGCAGCCTGCGGGCCTCAGCAGCCGCACATGCCGGCCGACTGCGGAGGTATACGTTCAGGCGGAGTGCGCAGCTATGCCCCCTCTGGGCTGGGCACTCGGGGCCGGCCCCGCTTGAGCAAGTACCTTGAGCCAAAATTGCTACGGATATATATATATATATATATATATTTATATATATTATATGTATGTATGTTATGTATGTATATATATATATATTATATATATATATATATATCCGTGCACGCGGCCCGGGCGCCCGGGGCCCGGGGCCCGGGGCACGGGGGGGGCATGGGAGGACCGGGGCTTCCGAGATCGCTCCGGGAACACCCCGGAGGGGCCGTGGAGCTCCCAGATTGCCCCACAGAGCTCCGAGACGCTCCCAGAAGGCCCTGGGGGGCTTCGACAAACCCCTCCAAGACAGCCCAGATAGCCCTAACGTGGCCCCAGATGGGCTCCAGACCAAGAGCCCAATACTCAGAGCGTGAATTACCTACCCCGCTTTCGCTTCCAGGCAAAACCAAGTCATACCACGCGCCTCCTCGTCAAGCGGCCTGACCAGTACAGGCCGTAGTTTGGCATCGTTTGGTATCTCTTGGAAGCGAGGGTGGTCAAAAGCGAGGTAGGTTTGTTGTCCCCCTAAATACACAGCCCAAGAGGCCTCCGAGAGGCCTCAAGCGACCTCCGAGAGGCGTCCCGATAGAGCCCGAAGAGGCCCGAATCCTTGATATTCATTGGTTTTGATATATATATATATATATATATATATATATTTTTTTTCGGTGCTTCGCGTTTTCGACATTCCGACGCTCCGCGACGGCCGACGACGCGCCCTGAGACCGCCGAAGAGGCCCCCCAACAGAGCCCGAAGACGGCCCCAGAGGGCCCGACAATTGCCCGGGACGAGCCTCAGACAGCCCAAGAGAGCCCCAGGACAGGCCCAAGCTGGGCCCCAGAGCGGGAGCGGGAGGCCCCAAGGCGCTCCAAGACGGCCCTGATGGCCCCAACGTGGCCCCAGACGGTCCCAGCGCGGCCCATACACAGCCCAAGAGCCCTCCAAAAGGACTCAAGAGAGCTCCAAGAGGCGTCCCGAGAGAGCCCGAAGAGGCCCCACAGTTGTTTTTTCAGATGTTTTTCGCTTTCCCGCGTTCTCGAGCTTCCAACGCTCGAAGACGGCCGACGATTCCCCCCAAACCGCCGAAGAGGCCCCCAAAAGAGCCCCGAGACGGCACCAGGGAGTTTGAAAAGTGCCCAGGGGGAGCCCCAGACGGCCCAAGAGAGCCCCATGTCAGGGCCCCAGAGCGCGAGCGGGAGGCGCCAAGGCGCTCCAAAACGGCCCAGATGCAAATACGGCAAATACAGCCCAAGAAGCCTTCAAGACGCCCCAAGAGAGCTCCGAGAGGCGTCTCGGGAGAGCCCGAAGAGGTCCAAATCCTAGATTTCCAATGTTTTGTTTCAAATGTTTTTCGCTTTCTCACGTTCTCGAGCTTTCACCCCAGGTCGTTTTCGTTTCCTCTGCGTGCCTCGGGCGGCCCCGGCAAGGCGAGAGGGGTGTTGCCATACCATATACGTTCCCGGTTCTTTCTTGCTCCTCCCACCGCACCCGAGGCAGCCCCGTCAGAGCGCACGGGGTGTGGCTATACCATAATTTTCCTCAGGTGTCGTGCTCCTCCGTCCCCCCATGGGAATGTCCCGCCACAGGCACCTGTGCCGCTGGGTGCTCTCGTGGCGTCCCAGGAAAACAGGCGGGTTGGCAGCCCGATCGCCACCACAGTTCGACGGGGCTGTGGGTGAGACTCTTGCCCCGTGGCTGGCCAGCCATAGTGGGTGCGGGCCCGCCGTACCACCCTAGAGAGGCCCGATGGGGTTACTGGAAGGGCCCCCCCGACGTGGGGGGCGCGGGAACGTAAGTCCTTTGGCACTGGGGTCTCCGCTGCTTGAGGCCGGCTGCCAAGTGGGCGTGCTGCCGGTGGCCGTGTCTCGGGGTGGCATCTCGAGGCGCCTCGCAACGGCGGCACAGATGTGACGCCTTGGGCGGGTTTGTGCCGCCGTTCATGTTGCGAGGTCCGACTGCGTGTGAATTCACGCAGGCACCTTGGGCACCTCCCCTCGAGTTGTGTCGCCCAGATGTTTTGTCCGGGTGCATTCAAAGCAAGTCCCGCCAGAGCGAAACCCCGGCCAGAGAGAGCAGGGCATCATTACACCATGTTCTTTCACGCGATTCTTGCTCTTCCCATCCTTGCAGCGCGGGCCCGTCCGAGCGAGCGGGGTATGGCTATTGTCAGATTTCTAGGTTTCGTGCCCCTCCCTCGCCTCCTGAACGGCCTCGCCAGAGCGCCAAGAAGGTACCGCCAGAGGCCCCGTCAGAGCTCCAGGAAGCCCCATACATGGGACTTGCCAGGCAAATCGTTGAGCATCCTCCGTGAGCCCGAACCTTCTGATGTCACGGGTGCGATTATCGCCGGCACGCGGTTCGGAGTCCAGCACAAAGAAGTTCCCCCACTCCCGTGGGCGGACTCGACAACAATTGTTTGCAGAACATCTGCGTGCGCCCTCTGCAGATACCCGGCAGCTGAACGACCGCTGAAAACGAGAAACCTGGAACGCAAGGAGAGGGAACAAAAACAGCGCGCACCCACGCGCGCGCAGGAGCCGGCGGATGTCTGCGTGATCGGGCATGGGGAAACCGAACATATGTGCACAAACATTCAATGTTACGACGGGGCACGGCGGAAATGAATGTGGAACAAAAAACGCGGTGCGATCAACCATTAAAGACGGCATGGAGATTGTGGGATACGCGGGAGCGTGGCGCCCCGCGTTCTGACTACGCGTTTCTTTGCGTCGACGGCAGGGGCCCGACATTGCTGGAAATCGTCATTGTGGCCACAGCGGGGCTTGCAGCGGCACCTGTGGCCCATCGGCAAGTAGAACGTAAACGCGCGCGAAGCGCGCGCGTGGTTTTTGAGACATATGTATGCGTATACATATAAGTATCCCTTCCCGGGGTCAAGCGATATCCGTATCCACCGCCCGCTGGTTTGCCAAGACGTCGGTCCTCCAGGCGGTAGGTCTGGACACCCCCCCGCCTCGCACCATCCTGTCGGTCGGCGTGGAGGGCAGCGCCGTGCCGCGCCACGGCGGCCACCCGGAAACGTGGCACGCCCTCTTGCAGGGTGCGAAGGCGTGGTGGGTGGGCCCGGGTGGCTCAGCTGCGTGGCCCGGGTGGGAGGATCACGGGCAACGACAGGGGGGATAGACATAGGGGGGATGCACGACCCCCTATCGCCCATTGGTCGCCGATAGGGGCCCGATAACCCCAACCTGCCCAGGAAAGTGCGGATTCATTCTCGGGGGCGTATCGCCGATCTATCGGCGACGTATCGCCGATTCCATGTCGATGCATCCCCCCTATGCCAGTCCCCCCCTGTCTTTGCCCCCCAAAGGACCCGTGCGGCCACATGGACGATTCGGAAAAGAGCAAACGGCATCGAGCAGACACCTTCGGAGGTCAGCGGGGATTTCTTGGTTCGGCGCTGGGCCCCACAGGCGGCGTGGCATATGCGGCGTCCCCCCAGGCTCGTTCCGCGCGCCAGGGGTGGGGGTCAGCGCCGATCAAAACAATCCGCGCGGACGTCCGCGAAAGTTTCTGTTTACGCCGTTTTTTTTTCTGACGATGCTGCCGCCGCCCCTGGCGGGCTTGGCGCAGCACCCGCCCCCGAGGGGGTGCGCTTCTGCGTCCTGCGGGCAGGCGAGGTCCTCTACATCGGCGAGGGCGCGGATCACGCATCCTGCAGCCTGGAGCCCTTCTCGCTGGGCGTGGGGGCCCAGGGGCACACTGAGTCCTGGCCGCACCTCCTGCGTGCCGCCAACCGCGGCGACCTCGCGGCGGTGAAGCAGGCGACGGCGCGCGCGGGCGCGGGCGAGCTGCGCCGCGCGCTGCGCCAGACCACCGAGGGCTACGCCCACACCCCCCTGCACCGTGCAGCGCTGCACGGGCACGCCGACGTGGTGGACCACCTCCTCAGCGCTGGCGCGGACCCTGATGCGCCCGACGCGGAGGGCCTCGCCCCGATCTTCCTGGCGGCCTTCAGCGGCCACCTGCCTGCGACCGAAGCGCTGGCCGCGCGCGGACGCGGCGCGGCCCTGCGTGACCCCAAGGGCGCCGGGCCGCTGCAGTGGGCCGCCACGCAGGGGCACGAGGCGCTCGTGGCGCGGCTCGTCGAGGGGCTGGGGGCGGACGCCCGAGGCCGCGACTCCCTCGGCGGCGGCAGCGTCTCCGCGGCCGCCACCATGGGCCACGTGGCCGTCATGGAGCAGCTGCAGCGGGAGGGCGCCGACCTCGAGGAGCAGGACCGGGAGGGCATGCGCCCGCTGCACTGGGCGGCCGCGCACGGCCACCGCGGGGCGGTGGAGTGGCTGCTGCGCCGGCGCGCGGACCCGCTCGCCCTCGCCCGCCACGGCAGCCTGAGCCCCGCGGGCGCCGCCAGCGCGGCGGGCCACGAGGCCGTGGCGGCGCTGCTGCGCGCCGCGGCGGGGCCGGCGGCCGCGGACGGGGCGCCGCGGGCGGCGCGTGCCCGCCAGAGGGCCCGGCGCCGGCGACGGCCTGGGGGGAGCAGGCGCGAGCTGTGAGCGGCCCCGCTGTCGTTCGGCCCGAGCACGGGCGAGGGCCTCAGAGGGCCGCCGCCCCGCCCCGCTCGCTCCGCCCCCTTCTCGAGCGCGCCGCCGACTGAGCTGGCCCGGGTCGCGCCAGGCGTCGACGCGCACCGAGCGCGGCGCGCCGTGCGCGCCCTGGGCAGCCGGGCTCCCCGCGCGGAGCGCCCCGTGCCTGCGAGCGGGCGGGCCCGCCGCGGAGCGCACTTCGGGGCCGATGGCTTCGGCGCCGCAGTGGCGGGGGCCTGCCCCTCGAGGAGCGTGCGGCTTCCGCAGCTGCATGGCGGAGTGGAGCTGCTCGGCGGCACGCTCAGGGGGGAAGGCGGAGAGAGGGCGAGCTCTCTCAGAAGGCTTGGAACGCCTCTGGCCTTCTGAGAATCATTCTGGGCGTTCTCCGACGCTACAGATGGCTTCTCACGAGGCCAGAGGGCTGCTGAGAAGCCCCGCCGCCTTCTGAGAATGCCCCCCGTCCCCTCTCACTTCCCCCGGCGCTTTGCCGAACTACGACGGCGATGCCGATGGCGCTGTGGAATCCTACGAGGCCTGCAGCGCCACGCCGGTTTTCCACCACCATTGTCATAGGCAGGAGAAGGAGGAGGAGGAGGAGGAGGAGGAGGAGGAGGAGGAGGAGGAGGTGGATGAGGAGGAGGAGGAGGAGGAGGAGGAGGAGGAGGAGGAGGAGGTGGATGAGGAGGTGGATGAGGAGGAGGAGGAGGAGGAGGAGGAAGAAGAAGAGGACCTCCCCATCCTCCCTTTCCCCTGGTTTACCGACGGCAGTGGTGGCGGGAAAGGGGCCCATCACACGACGAACGCCGGCGAGTCACGCGAGGCTGTGCAGGGCTGCTCCAGCGGTGTGCAGCAGCCCGCGCGCACCTGGCTCCGCCGCGCCGGGCCGCCAGGCCTCGCCGCCCGCAGGCGGCCCCTCCGGCGGGCTCGGTGTGATCCCGCAGGCCGTGCCTCCCAGGCGGCGCGGGTCGGAAGATCGCGCCGCATCGCCGATGCGCCGGCGATGCGGCTCGTTTGGGGCCCGATGTTCCCCGCTGCGATGCATCGGCGATGCATCGGTGATGCACAGGCGATGCGGCGCGATCCCCCCCCCCCATCTTGTCGACGCCCAGTGGGGAGGCCTCTTCGCATGCGGCGTGCCCAGATCTCTGGCGCGTGGAGCAAGCTCGAGGCAGAGCTTCTGTCGCCATGTTTGGGTATGTTTTGCAGAAGCATGGACATTCGGAGGTCCGCACGGATCTCTCGGTCGGCCGTGGATGCCCCTCCTTGCCATTCCTGGGCGTCCTAAATCCTCCTCCTCCTCCTTTTCCTGCTCGTTTTCCTCCTCCTCTCGAACAAGAAGACTAATCAACATGAGCGTGAGCGTTCCGAGGCGCTGTGCCCTGAGCGGCGCCCTGCGCGGCGCCCCTGGCGCCGACTCAAGAAGTCCGCGCGGTCCTCCGACCAGCCTGTGCTGCTCGTGTTGCCCCTTGCATCCCCCACCGCCCCGGGGGCCGCGGGCCCCGGCAGTGCCGAGCCCCTGCGGGTGCGGCGGTGGCTCCCCCGCTTGGCACGCGGGCGCGCCATGCGGGCAGCTGCTGCCGGGGCTCGCCGGGCTGAGGGCGGACAGGGCCTCGGGCGCGGCCTGCCCGGCCTCTTCCGCGACGCGCCCTCTCCGTGACGGCTCCCTCGCCCTCGGGGCTCCCTTCCGGCCGCTTGCCTGCGCCTTGGAGCCAGGCGAGGGGCTCGTCCCGAGGGGGCCGGCCAGCCCGCCCCTGACCTCCATGCGCGCTCGGGAGAGGCGGGTAATTGCCCTTGCGCGCCTCCGGGCCGCCCAAGTGGGGCTGGAGTAGACGGGATCGGAGGAACGCGCCGCATCGCCGATGCACCGGAGAGCCGGCGCGATCCAGGGCCAGATATTCTCTCCACCGCGGCGTCACCGACGCATCGCCGAGGCACCAGCCTGCGTCGGCGATGCGGCACGACCCGCCGACCCGATCTCCTCGGGCCCCACTGCGCGGCCACCCCGCACGTTGCTGCCATTCCACCGTGATCGTTGTCGCAGCCATCGTGGGCATCACGGATGTATCACGACCTGGAACTATTGGAGTCTTCTCTGGCCCGCAGTATCGTCAGGGTGTGGGAATGTTTGTATATGCGGTTCAGCATTCATCGAAGTTATTTGGTCCCGCCCCCTCTCTTTCCCTGAACGACTTACCTTGTCGTTGATGCAGGTCCACTGGGCGGTTCCTACATGTGCGCCCAGGGGCAGGTTTCGCATGGGATCGCGCATAGAATTGCTCAGAGCAGCTAAAAAGGTCAGGACATCGCTTGGCGAAACCCCCCCTTCCCGCCAGGAGCATCCTTGAAGCCTCTGGGGCCCTTTTGGGTTCTCTTTGGGCCTTCTTGGAGGTTTCCTGGGGCACTCTTATGGGATTCTTGGGAGGCCTCTCTTGGGGGCCTCTTGGGCGGTCTGCGGCAACACCGAGAAATCGGCTGCACGTAAGTACAGATACTCTTCCGCTTGAAGCGGCGGACGTATCGGCGACCAGTGTCCGACACAGCCATATTGGGACAGGCCGCGCATCAAATCCATCGCATCAAGCGCCGTACGTGCGAATCTCCTATAACATGGTGACACAATCAGTCTCGATCTCAGCTCGTTCCGTTATGCTGGATGGCAGCCCGCACAGGGAGCGAACCACACATTTCTTCATCCGCAGCCTTAGCGTTGCGAGCCAGCGTTGCTGCAGTATGCGTTAGGCGTTAAAGTGCCACATGCGATATTGCGACGGCCTTACTGCCGGTGCCGCCGGCCCTGAAGGCGGGACCTCCTCCCGTACCCCCGCTGTCGACACCCCCAGGTACCCGCTGGGACCCGGGGGGGCTGTATTTTGACCCGCCCGTCTTCCCCGCCCCCCCTCTGGCAGGGAAGGGATAAAGGGAAGGGCTTCCCTCCGACTCAACTGCGACGTTCCTTCTCCTTGTTCCTCGCTTTCCTTCGGAGTGACGACGACGATGCTGACGACGACAGCGTCTTCCACACGCCGAAGGGTCATCGCATTTTAGACTGGCTTGATTGTTGGGGCCGATGCAGCATCTTTTACTTCGTATGCAAGCCAAGCATTCCCTCGCCACGCCCTGTACCACAGCTTGCTTCGGCCATGCAAATTTGTACGGGTGATGCCCCAAAGGGGTCCAGGGACCCTTGGAGCGAAGCATGGCCAAGAGCGTCGCGATGTCGGCTCAAGGAGCAATTTGGCCGGAAATGCCAGATCTGAGTCAACATTAGTACTCGCTGACATGTCAGCAAGAACAGCTCGTTCCATTTAGTTGCATGACCGCTCAGGGGGCGCCCTAGGCCGCGTTGTTGGTGGGGGTTCTCACCCACATCGCACCAGACACAATATCTTGCAATACGGGGGATTCCAGCCCCGGAGTATGCAGCGCCGTAGCGTGTTCCAACATCTTCATTGTTGGGTTCGTCAATCGGTGCTGGCAGTTCCACCTACCAGTGTCCATGTGCGTTGCAGCGCATATTCACCCCCGCGCTTGGGAATGCGGGACCAACCAGTGCGTGTTCGAGGGTACGGTGTCGGCACGCATGTGGCCAGACATTTGAGCTCATTTCGGGTCCGTCTTGGGGCCGTTTCGGGACACCTTTCAGCTTCTTGAGGTCATCTTGGCGTTCTTTGAAAGTTTGGGGTGCATTCCAGGAAGTCCTGGGGCTGTCTTGGGGTATCTTCTCGGGGCCGTCTTGGGCCGATCTTGGGCCGAATTGGAGCTGTCTGTGGGCCGTCGTAGAGGCCAGTTGGGGGCTATTCACTGGGGCATCTTCGGTCCATCTTGGGTGTCCCTTGGACCGTCTGATTGTCCTTGACGGCTTCTTGGATCCTCCGGGAGGCCCGTGGAACAATTTTAGAGCCATCTGAAGCCGCACGTAAGCAGCACCCAAAGTGTACAAACTCAGTGTGCTTTGACGATGTGTCGCCTTGAAGGGCCTTCGCGGAGGTATTTTGGAGGCTCTTGTGGCCTCTTGGGACAATGATGGTGCTCTCTGGGGTCATCGCAGAGTCAAAGTTGGCCATCCCGGGGCCCTCGTGGGACCGTCTGGGGCACGACGCGGGCCATGTAGAGCCATCGGTGGGACCTGGCGTCCACAGCACGGCCTGAGCACGACCTGGAGCAGGGGGGCGTCCCCCGCGGGCTGTTGACGAGAAAGTGTGCTGGCTCCTCAACCACTGATTTTCTCATTGCACCGCTCGGCGTCAAGTGAGAAAAATCCACCTGGACCCGATAACTGGCGTTGAAGAAACGACCTTGGGCGTTTATTAAACAGCCCTGCCCTGTTCGATTCCTTCTGTGGGTGCGTTTACGAAACGGCTTCGCGTGTCGGGGTGATCATTCTGGGCGTGGATTTTCTGCGCCCTACGGCGCTCCGACACGCACTACGCGCCGTGGGCGCGCTGGCGGACAACGTCGTAAGTGCCAGTGCGGCATCAGCATCGACGTTGATGCTTGATTCGGAGAGCCAGCCTGGGGGGGCACCTTACACGGAGGGATCATCGGGAAGATCCAAGTCAACTTGGCTATTCGCCTGGGCGGCGGGGCAAGCGCTCGTGCATGAGGTGCGGCGGTGATGATTGAGGGGAGAATTGCGAGGATCACGCTGCGACTTGTTTCCCTGCGTGTTTTGACTCCTGGCCAAGCGGGGACTACCATGGGGTGTCGACAGGATGGAACGGAGGGCAATATTTTCGGAGATAGGCCCGTCCCACTTCCCTCATCAAGGATGTAGCAATTTCCTGCCCATGGTCGAGGATACTAAGGAGTACCGTGTTATGTGTCAAGGTCGCGCCCAGTGACAGCGGTGCGAATGTGCCACTAAATTTTGACAATCGTTTCTTCGACCAAACTGCTACTACTATTACTAGGAATAGCAGTCCTGAGTCCCACTGGCAGTCCGCAGGTGGCCTTTTCTGCAAGAACCCGCGGTTATACTTACTGGCAATAGGCCGCGAGTGTCCACGTTTGCAGCGTTGCTACTCCGAACCCGACGCGGGTCCCGACGCTGAACTCGACGCCGAACCCGACGCCGAACCCGACGCCGTAACCGTCGACGTACCCAACGCCGTACCCGACGGCGTACCCGACGCCCTAACCGAAGGCTTTATCGACGCCGTACCCAGCGGCTTTACCGACGCCCTACCCGACTGTACCCAACGGGGCCTTCCCGACGCCTTTTCCGACGGCATTCCCCCACGCCACTCCCGACGCCCAGATCCACGTGCAGCCTGACGTATTCTCTGGGCTGGCCGACGCCGCATCCAATGTTTCCTGCTGCAGCACTCATGGCGGCCAGAGCGGCGGGAGGCGTGACTGCCATTGACGATCCCCACTTTCTAAACGTTCACTGCGAGCGTTGCGGTGTACATGACATGAGATCTTTCATGGACTTCGTGCTGAAGTCGCATTGCTTCGAGTGCAAGCCGCTGCGCGCCGATGGCGGGCGGGACCCCTGTTGCCCAACCGTCTGCGTACATGAGCCACAGCGCTTTGTCTGTTCTTCCACGCGCCCGCTGCAGAGCACGGCGTGCCACTGCTCGCCCCAGCGGCGCCGCTGCGGCGGCGACGGCCGAAGTCTCCCAGCCTCTCCGCCTTCCGTGGCGATGTCAGTGCCGGCGGCGAGCGCATGCCGGGCCACGGACTCGTCGTCCTGCGCTGGTTGTCCACGGTGGGCGTGCCTCCGCCCAGGCTTCGCACGGCCACCGGGGGTGGTTCGGTCGCTCGGAGGCGGGCCCCAACCTCTCTGTCCAGGGTCCCCACCCGGCGGAGGGGGTGCCGTTGTGGCGAGGCCGAGCTGGGAGTGAGCTCGAGCCGAGGTTTTCGATTCGGCTTTGAGCTGGGCTTGGAGGAGCGGGAGTGCAGGGATGATGCTGAGGAGAAGGATGTTGGAGGGGGAGCTGAGGAGGATGCGGGGGAAGAGGAGGAACGGGAGCGGAAGGAAATGCGGAGCTCAAACATTCAGGTTGGGCACGCTCATTGCTGTGCCCGCGCTCTAGCGATCAGACGAATAGGTCGTGGTCGTTGCGCAATCCCTGCAGTGCTTGAAAACCACTGTGCAGAATACTTGAACCCGCGTTTTTTCCAACGCTCTTGTGTTGGGTTCTCGTTTTGAGTAGTTCACTCTCGACCTCACCTCCTCTTCCGCCTATCCACACCTCCTGCCTCCTCCTGCTCTGCTCCCTGGAAGGCAGCGAATTGCGCAACCGTCTCCACTTTCGTGGGTTCCTGGGACGCACGGCGGAGTTGGGAGTACGCTGACCCAGCTGAGATCTCGCATGTCCTTGGGTTCTTCGAACAACCGTCGCCACTTTCGTGGGCTCCTTGGAGGCACGGCGGATTAGGGGAGTACGTGGACCGAGCCGAGACCTCGCATCTCCTTACGAGGCTTCGAACTGCGCAACCGTCGCCACTTTCGTGGGTTCCTGGGACGCACGGCGGAGTAGGGAGTACGCGGACCCAGTTGAGACCTCGCATCTCCTTGGGTTCTTCGAACAACCGTCGCCACTTTCGTGGGCTCCTTGGAGGCACGGCGGAGTAGGGGAGTACGTGGACCGAGCCGAGACCTCGCATCTCCTTACGAGGCTTCGAACTGCGCAACCGTCGCCACTTTCGTGGGTTCCTGGGACGCACGGCGGAGTAGGGAGTACGCGGACCCAGCTGAGACCTCGCATCTCCTTGGGTTCTTCGAACAACCGTCGCCACTTTCGTGGGCTCCTTGGAGGCGCGGCGGAGTAG